AATCTTCAACATACCCAATATAACACTCTGCGGTGTAACCTTGCAAACCAAGTTCATGTCTCTGAACTGCTCAATTAATTCCAACTCTTTAACCATCATTACTGACATATGTAAATTCTTTCGACTTAACGCATCAGCTACCACATTCGCTTTTCCTGGATGATAATTCAAACCAAAATCATAATCCTTTATCAATTCCAACCATCTTCCTTGCCTCATATTCAACTCCTTTTGATCGAATAAATACTTTAAGCTCTTATGGTCACTAAACACTTCAAATCTAGAATCATAAAGATAATGCCTCCAAATCTTCAGCACAAAAACAACTGCAACAAGCTCTAAATCATGTGTAGGATAGTTCTTCTCATGAGTCCTTAACTGCCTTGACGCATAAGCAACTATCTTACCATCCTGCATAAGCACACCTCCTAAACCCATCTTAGAAGCATCACAATATACCACAAAAGGCTCTCCAGGATTAGATAACGTCAAAATCGGAGCCGACATTAACCTCTTCTTCAATTTCGTAAAACTTTCTTTGCACTGAACATCTGATACAAAAGTTCTACCTTTACAAGTCAACTTAGTCAACAGAAGTGTCAACTTAGAAAAACCTTCGATAAACCTTCTATAGTAACCAGCTAATCCAAAGAAGCTTCTAATCTCAGTAGCTGACCTCAGAGTTTCCCATTACAACACAGCATCAACCTTCAATGGATCTACAACAATGCCACTACCTGAAAAAAAACAAGTCAACAGCAAAGTCTCCATCGAAGATCGACAAGGGACACTTAACACACACAAAAGAAGTAGTCACCGACCCCTTAGCTGGAGTATCGACGACCATTTCTCCATTCAAAGAAGACAACATAAGACCCAATCTTTTAACACAATCAGCAGCAATAAAACAATGCGTAGCACCGGTATCAATAGTAGTAATTAAAGAAGTACTATTAATGAAACATGTACCTATGATAAGTCTGTCCTCAGTAGCTATCTGATCCTCAACTAAAGCAAACACTTTACCACTTGTCTGCGCCCTCTTTGATTTCTGACACTGACTACCAATGTGCCCTTCTTCTCTACAATTGTAACAAATCACATCCTTATGTTCACACTCAGATACGACATGTCCGTTCTTACCACAAAGGAAACACCTCTTCACTTCAGTAGTACACACATTACTCTTGTGCCTAAATTTTCCACCCTTAAAACAAACCACACCAGTAGGAGCATCTCCCCCACTAGTCCTCTGACCCTGAGCAACTTTCTGTTTACCTTTACTAGCTGGGGCATCATAAGGCTTACCAAGATTCTGTTGGTGCTTACCTCTCTTCTCACTGATAATCTTGTAATGAGCATTATTATCCTCCTCAAAAATCCTACAACTATCAACCAAATCAGCAAAGACACAGATCTTCTGGTATCCAACTTCCTTCTTGATCTCCGAACGCAACCTGTTATCAAACTTGATACACTTCGAAAACTCAGCATCTGCCTCAGCATAGTGCGGATAAAACTTAGCCAACTCAACAAACTTGGCAGCATAGTCAACAATTGACATATTCCCTTGCTTCAGCTCAAGGAACTTAATCTCCTTCTTACCACGAACATCTTCAGGAAATTACTTCTTCAAAAACTCCCTACGGAACACAGCCCAAGTGACATTCTCACCTGCAGCTTCCAATCTCTGACAGGTCTCTAGCCACCAGTCATCAGCCTCGACTGCCAGCATATGAGTCCCATACCGAACCTTCTGCACTGGAGTGCAGTCCACCACACGGAAGATTCTCTCAATCTCTTTCAGCCAATACAATGCTCCGTCAGGATCATACTTTTCCTTGAACATAGGCGGATTCTCTCTCTGAAAAGTCGCCAAGCTACGAGATCCAGCATTCCCATCAGTATTCGGCTGATTCTCCATCGCATGAGCCATTGCTTCTAAAGCAGTAGCAAGTGCAGCATCATTCCCTCCAACCATCTCAACTTCTCACTACAACATAAACAACGGTTAGAACTCAAATTAACAATACTCGATTGTTAGACAACTACGACTCGGCAACAAGGTCGGACCAACCTTTTGCTCTGATACCAACTTTGTAACACCCCAATTCTACCCCGACAATTATATACATAAATCAGAGTTATAAAATCATTCATGCAAACGAATCGGGATGCCACAAATTCTTCTTTCAAAACTCATTGCATTCATCATGGATACATAACACTTTAAAACACCGGATGAACCATCATCATAACAACTTTAATTAATTAATTCAACAATTCAACATCTACGCAGCAGAATTCTTAATAAGATCTTTGTCATCGTTACAGCAACTTCAAAACAACACAATTTAATAATAATTAACTTAAGGTTCAACAACTGAATAATCAACAATCAAAAGCAACAAGCGTTCATCCCCCCGAGTGTTACATATCAGAGCAAAGACACTGACTCGAACTACTGAAAGTATACAACTTTCACTCTCGATTACCTGCACGTTACCAACATAAGGACAACATTCAAACAGAAGGGGTGAGATATCTAACGATATAATAAAGCGCATGATAATTAATATATTAAGTTGGACCACATAACATCACCACTTCTCATCTCATAATCAACAATAATCACAATAATAATACATATTCACAACATCAATACACACTTCTTTATGCAATCATATAATGCGACTCAATACTATGCAAATGCATGTGGTACCATTGGAGCAGAACTCCCATCTCAAAAATTGCCAATTAATATAGGCATCAACAAGGCATAGGTCTTCATCTCAATATTCGCCAATACAGGCCATCTCAACGAGCATAAGCTTCATCTCAAAATGCAATGTATGCGACACAATCATGAATGTAATAACACACCATAATTGACAACATGTCAATACAACACCATCGTTGGCCAAAGGCCTACATCTTAAAAGCATCTCAACATCTCTTCATCAACATCATTCATCGACATCATTTATCATCATAAATCATCAAACATCAATTATACATCATAAATCATCAAACATCATTTATACATCATAATTCATCAACTAAGGCTTAATTCTAAATCACTAAACCTCTACATTCTACTATTCTGTAATCTTACATCATTATCATCATTAGTCCTACTGTTACAAATCAAACAACAACCTATAATCATCTCTTTTTTGAGTATCCTTATATCATTGCTTGTTTTGACTACCCTGGGTTATGCCGGTGAGAGGTTTTGTATGCTAAGAATTCAATTGCACCTGGTGTGTCATCTCCAGCTGGTTTAGTCTTAACTCACTCTTAAAACCTCAGTTTCATAAGCCGTTGAGATTTAAGAAAATCCAATATAAATAAATTATGAAGTTTAGTGGCTTGAATGGTCATTGTTTTGTTTGTTTTTAAGAGTAAAACATGAAGTATATTTTCTTCGGCTCGATATTTTCAAGCGTAAGAAAATATATGTTCAAAATATACAGCAAAGAAATGATGAGATTTGTTCTAGCGGATTTTTCAAAGTCGATTTTCATCTTCCATATTAAAAGGTTGGTGAAAAAATTGTTTTCCATACTTTAGTAATCACTGTTTCTACACATTAAGTCTTCATTTTCCTCTTGAGCCCTGGTTACGTAATATAGATGTCTCTATTAAGCCACTTCCACAACAAGCTTTTCTGGCTTAAAAAAACCTGTAAAAAGAGTGGCGTATCAATAAGATGAAACAAATTAGAAACAAGTATATAAATTTGTAGTTTACTGCAGGCTTAGTGACAAGTTCTTGGAGAGGATGGTAGATATCAAGGACAACCAACGTAAGGTTACTAAGTGATATCTTCATGTTTAGCATTTCCAACACATTCATTGCAATGAGAGCCAAAGAGAGTTATCGCAGCCGACAAACAACCCAATGGAAGTAATTTTGTTACACTGATTTTTCTTGCTCTAAATGCATATAAATTATGTAATTTATAACAGTCATGTTTGCAATTTAGAAATGTCAAATCAAAATTAAATACTTCATTAATTATATACATCTAATTTGGATGTAGGACCATAGAAACCAGAAGCACCCCATGCAAAGTTTGCACCATTCAAGAAGTTTTGTCCTTAACAGTCAAACAAACCTTACATTCAAGTTTCAATTATATTTGAGCTACAAGCCTTTGTTGTCTTTAACATGTAAAATATTTTATATCTTAGGTCTTAGCTCAGTGGTAACAGTTACAAGCCGATTCGAATCCAAGAATCCAACACAGGATCTGAACAAACAAATTTCTGCAATGAATTTGCTACACATTAACTACGATTTTAGCTACCGATTAGATACAAAATTCTATAGGCTAAAGTATGTGCTTGGCTTTGGCCACATGACATATCACGTCATCCTCTTTAATAACTGGCATTGTCACGTGTTAGTATCACATCAGCCCTGCTAACAGATATTAGCAAGAGAGACTAAAAGTGTGGACGAAAAATATTTTAGAGGAATCATTTTTAAAGAAAATATTTTGAAAAACTAAAAATAAAATTAATAATATTTAGAGAGATCAACAACCTATTTAACTCTTTTTTAAATTAAAACTATTTAAAAGTGAAAATTAAATATGAAACAGATCTAATGACTACGTCCTTTTCGAATAGCAGTGAATCACAATCCATGATTTTGGTGTATTGCGTGTGGGGGTGTAATAGTAACAAAACTATAAACTTGATTTGTAGTTAATATATATTGTCAAATAACTATTAAAAAAAACATTTACTTATTAAATTGCTCTCTAGTTAATTTGATTTTTTTTTACAAGGTTGATGAAACAGGAAAAAAAACAAAATAAAAACAAAATCTTAAATATTTTGAAGAACAAACAAATTAACAATATTTAGAGGGATAAAATATATTAAAAAAAATACTATGAAGAGAGAGATAGACTCACATAACTGCATGGAATCATTTCCCCAAAAGGATCGTAGCTAAACGCAGCGTAGCAGATGCAGACGTGATCATTCATGGCGACTTCTGATCCCCAAAACTTGATGACCAATGCTGATAACTTGTCTTTTTCTTTTCTTTTCTTTTATTTCTCTCTCTTTTCCTTTTCTTTTATCATTTCTGCATGTATCTATGTATGGGAACTATCACAATATATCCCAAAAAAGAAAAATAATGATCATTCATGACCTACATTCAACCTATCTCAAATGGAATTTCATTAAATTAAATCACCATAAATTGATAAATGAAATTCCAGATTAATTCTCGAACCCTCATTCATTAACATGCAATTTAGTTCTAATTTTATGATCAGCTTAGGGTTTAGAGTATGTATATTGTAGTCCTCATCCTCACGCTCAACATGATTAAATTTTGATGTAGCTTTTGATTAAAGCATATAGTTACCTTATTTTTTTGTCTTATTTGTGAATTATATTTACTCCTTGTTTCCTTGTTGATTCAGAACAACGCTTAGCTTCACAAGGTGGAATGCAGATTGGAGAAATGCTACTGTTCTTTATGAGCAAGCTGGTAGCATTCATTTCTAAATTATTGATTGTGCATGCAAATAGTTTTGTATCGAAATGAAGGTTCTAGAAGAAAACAATCATATGTCTTATTTCTATGTGTAGCCAATGGCTTTAAAATTGCTAAGGATTATGAAAAAGCAAAAATAGCATATGAGAAAGCTTCTAAGGGACAAGAGATGCTTTCTTCGTATCCTTCGTTACCTTGTTTTGTATTATGTTGTCTTGCCACATTGGCTGCTATGTTAAAACCGGTTGAATGGTGATTGGTGGTTTCTCTGGTTCGTTCGATGTCTGGTTCGTGTTTTAAAACATTGGTTAAAACTTATAAAAGTGTCTCTATTTGTCCTTGACAAGTAACTAGACCATGGGAGGCAGCTAAGAACATGGAATCTGCTGGGGCTATGTCAAAGGAACTAAGAAACTGGACAGAAGTCGGAGCCTTTTATCGAAGAGCTTCTGAATTGTATATTGAATGCGGGAGATCACAACCTGCATCAGATGCTCTTGCAAAGGGAGCCCGGTAATGATTTTCTTTTCATTCTTCTATTTTTTTAATCATATTGGCATTAACATCTATCTGAAAATTCGTAACTATGCAGTGCTTTGGAAGATTCCTTGCCGGAAGAAGCTATTAAGTTATATACCGATGCTTGTGCAATACTTGAAGAGAACGGAGGAGAGCAAATGGCCTTTGATCTATATCGTGCTGCCGCTAATGTTTACATAAAACTCGAGAAGTAAGTCCGGAAAAAAATATTGACAGTGTTTATTTCCATGGAATGTAGATTCATACCTAATGTAAATTTTAATACCTGAAACTTTTCTTAATACATAGGTTTACAGATGCAGCATCTTTTCTGCTGAGATTAGGCTTAGCAGCGGACAAGTGTAACGCTACTAATAGTCAGACAAAGGTTTGAAGTTATATTAGTTTTCATTCTTTATTCTAATCATCCCCTAAAGTACAATATTCCTCAATGGTCTCTTTTCCATGTTATGGAAAAATATGCTGATACAATTGTAGGTATGAACATAAGCACGGACTCCGACACAGACAATATAATGGATTCCTTTGATGCAGGCATACCTAAGTGCAATTATTGTCTACCTTTATGCTCAAGATTTTAAGCAAGCAGACAAGTGTTACAATGACTGCACTCAGTAAGATTAGCTTATGCCTTATTTTTCTTATGCTATTATATGCCGGGAAAGTCAATATCTCATACAGCACTTTCTATTGTCTACACTTGTTCTTATTGTTTCTCTTTTTACTAGCATACGTCTTTAGAACATGTACATAATTATTGGAATTGGAATTAATTGGTATTAATGGTTTGTGATGTCTCTAGGATTGATGGTTTTCTCAGAAGTGACCACGGACGTTGTGCTAACAAGCTTCTTGCTGCATTCAAGGATGGAGACATTGACGAAATCAAACGTATAACACAATCCAGCATTATTTCAAATCTCGATCATACGGTAAGTGAATCTTAATCATGATTACCATCTGGTTTAAAATAACTATTGTGGACTCAATATTAGCAAAATCACTGCAGATAGTTAGGCTTGCGAGAAAATTGCCTATGGGTGATGTGAATGCATTGAAGGATGACAGGGACACTACCAAAGAAGAAGAGGAACCACTGGACGAAAACGATCTTACTTGATCTTCACTTTTCACTTTTCTCTATACAATTGAGGCATACATACTTATGGTGGAAGGCTTATCATTTTCAAGTCAAGCTTGATGGATGCTGTCAGAACATGTTACATTTGTTGTAGGTCTAGCTTTTTTTACATCATTGTTGACTTTACAAAGCTTAACTTTAGTGTCAGTAAGGTCAACGCTAAGAATATTTTGTTAACTTTAGCATAAGCACCATCGAAGCTAGATAATTTTGTTGACTTTAGCAGTAGTCTAACTGAAGCTATATTGTGTTGATTTTAGAAGTTTGACTTTAGCGTTGGTTAATCAAAATTAACTTTAGAAGTTGTCTAAATATTTTTGTTTGACTCTTAGAAATTTACTTTTTTTTAATGCGGGTTTTGGTTTAGTGTCGGCATAGACTCAGCTCGGTTGAGGTTAACACTGATACGATTGTTTTAGTTGACGCTAAAGTTTAGCTTCAAGCTTTTAGCTTATCCTAGACACCGACGCTAATTCTTAGTTAGCGTTGGTTTTTTGATTTTTGGTGTCATTTATTGGTTGACGCTAAATACTCTCTCTCACACACAATGACTCTCAACTTCTAATATAGTATCTATAATTTTCTTTTGTTGAATTTGTTAGAAAAAAATTTGGTTATGTGTATAATCTTTAGTTTTGATGATAACAATGTCTATATTTTATATGTAACAATTTTGTACTCTAATAGTTTCTTGAGTGTGCATATATAATATTTTATTTGATTTTGGTTAGTTATCTAGAAAAATCATTAGAATCACGGTTGGCACACCTCAGAAGAACTATTGCATCCACTTGTTGGCTGAAGATTTTGATAATGTTATTAGAAGCCAAATGAATTAAACGTTTCGATCGAAATGAGATAAAGCGTCATGTTTCGAAGTAGCAGAAGCAGTGTTTCGAATAAGTACGTCAAAGCTTGGAGCTTCGAGTGGCAATTATGGGAACATATCTAAAGAAGTCTCGAAATAACAACAAGGCTGTGTCTGGAAAGTGCGTTCGAAACGGAGAAGTACCAAAGCATTTGAAATTCAAATGGAAGCGGGACATTCAAAGTTTGAAAGTTATGTGATGGAGCATTTGGGGACACGTGGAAAGAAGAAAGAGGCATTGTCCTGCATGTTCTGAACGTGGCATAATCCTATAGCGAGACCGTTATGGTCGAATTAGTATAAATAGAAGTCTTAGTATTAGGATTTCAGTGTGTCATATCTATTGTGCTAAATACTCAGTAACATTCAAACTACCACATGACAAGGGAAACGAATGCAAGAGAAATGTACGTATGATAGCACCATGTATTTCTGATTTAATGAAAACCTTTTACCATTTCCAGCACTTTCCTTTATCTTTTTGTCAAATAACATTTACAAGTTTTCTCATTTACAGTCTTTTCACTTCGAAATCTCTTCTTCAAAGTTTTACATTTTAATGCTTTCTTCACATTTCAAGCAATTTACATCTTAGAAAACTGTCATATTTTCCATACCTTTACCTTCAAGTCTTATCCTTCGAACGCATATTTTTATTTAAAGTCATTTACAGATTTCTTGCATTAAACGCTTTCTTCATATTTCAAACCTTTTACGTTCCAGAAACCCTTTACATTAACTGTTTTATAATTCGAAACTGTTTACTTGACTTTTATGCAATTTTACATGTCTTTACAATTAACATTTATTCATGCAACTTAGTTTCACACACACATTTTGATTACATCTTTAGACTTTTAGAGAGAGAAACCGAAATAAGCCAAACGCATATACAACACTCAAATATCAACCATGAATATCTGTTCGATCGTGAGAGTAACCTTAATGTCCAAGGAATCCTAGGATCAATCTAGTCGATCCTGTGAGTTACCAGAGGAATTGAATAACAGTCAGAAAGATTATTCGATAGTTTGGAAGACTAGCGGTTGTTTACCAGAAATCACTGGAAACAAATTGGCACACCCGGTGGGACCAAATTGGATATTAGAAATAAAGATTGTTGAGACATAACCATTATAAAGACGTTGGAACCTGAGAAGTTTGTTGTTTTATGAACCTGAGAAGTGGTAAAATAACCAACAGCAACCAACCTTCATCCAGAAGAAAATGTTTGGACAAAATGTCTAATTCTGACAATCAACAAGGGGACCAAAATGGCCCACATACAACAGGCACTAACGCGTCCACTTCGATCGGAACATCTAATGTAATCCCTTCGAATGCACAGTCTGTTGCATCTTCAACCAGTAACATAGCCTCCAATGGAATAAGTGGCATATCAACTAATAGTTCGATCTTAGGAAATACGGGAACCATTGGCTACCCTGGGGGATTCGTTCCACCATCAGGGACACAATCCTATTTCGCCACTCCATTAACTAGACCACCCGGTTTCGATGGGAATAGAACCAGAAACTCCTCTTATGGAATGTCAACATCTTTTATGGCAGGTTTACACAATTCCACATCGAATTCATCCCCACAACTAGGGTCTGGGTCTGCGGCGAATCAGTTTATGACAAATAACCAAGGGTCAGTGGGTTATAGCGCAATGCCTATCTTAACCACAGACAACCAGTTGGATTTTAGGCAATTGATGGATGACAGTAACCATAATATGATAGGGGTGTTAGCACAAACCATGCAGGAGATATTTGCCCCAATAGTGCAAAATGTGACTGTGACAAACAGAGAAAACGCTGACAATATGAGTCGAATAGCAGATTTCTTTGCTCCCCCAGAAAGGCGTAGGCAGAATCAGGCGGGATTTCGAGCAAACATGCCTGTTATAGAACAAATTGCTAACGACCCAATTTATAGACCACCCAGAGAAGAAGCTAACTTAGGGGCCAGGGCACCAAGGTTAGAAGCCCCAATAATCCCGGGCCCACAAAGGGAAATTATGGAACCAGGGGCAAGGGTCGAAAGGCTAGAAGCCCCAGAGTTTCGAGAAGAACAACCTAGGGGAGTTGTTGTGGTTGGTCGAAATCAAGATGTCGATGCTGTCGTTCATAGAATTCGAAACGATAACATCTTGGCAGAAAACAACCTAACCACTATGATAGAGAGAGTTATGGCCCAGAATGGCCTCAACACAGGAATGAGAAGGCCAAATTATGCTTCTCCTATATTGGATTGCATAATGCATACTGATTTACCAAGGGGATATAAAGTCCCTAAATTTACAAAGTTCGCTGGGGATACCAATGAGTCAACAGTCGAACACATAGCGAGATATCTAACCGAAGCGGGAGATATAGCCAATAATGAAGATCTCAGGATCAAATACTTCCCAAGTTCCTTGACGAAAAACGCCTTCATATGGTTTACCACTTTGCCCCCTGGGTCCATTGACACTTGGGCTCTCTTAGAGAGATTATTCCATGAACAATTTTACATGGGACAGTCGAAAATAAGTTTGAAGGAATTGGCCAGCGTTAAGAGAAAGTTCACTGAACCCATAGATGATTATCTGAATAGATTTAGGCTTTTGAAATCCAGGTGTTACACAGTAGTGCCTGAACATGAGTTAGTCGAAATGGCTGCTGGTGGCTTGGATTATTCTATTCGAAAGAAACTGGACACTCAATATTTGAGGGATATGGCTCAGTTAGCCGATAGGGTTCGACAGGTCGAAAGACTAAAGGCCGAAAAAGCCAGAGTCTTTAAGAATAGCAAGAAAGAAAGGATTTCTTATGTTGGGACTGAGGAAGCAGAAGAGTATCCTGAATTCGAATTCGAAGAGGTCGAAATCGACCTCGGTGAATTAAAACAGGCCCCGCCTTATTCCTGCAAATTGTTAGTTCCCACAAAAGGGAAAGACATTGTTGAAAATGAGAAAAGTGACAAATTTCCAAAGAAGGTTTATACCTTCGATGTCACTAAATGTGACGAGATTTTTGACTTACTTGTCAAAGATGGCCAATTAATTGTGCCATCAAATGTCAAAATACCTCCTTTGGATCAGAGAAAGAAGAGAGGATTTTGCAAATATCATAGTTTCCTAGGCCACAAAACCTCACAATGTTTTCTTTTCAGGGACCTAATTCAAAACGCGATCAAAGATGGCAGACTAAAGTTTGCTGATAAGGTGAAGATGAAAGTGGACGAAGATCCCTTGGACGTCGCAGACACCAACTACTCCGAGCCTGCATGCATTGGAGAGGTCAACATGGTGGAAACTGATCAAAGCGACGCCCTAACAGGAGAGAAGGGTACTGAAGTTGAAAACTGGGTGATGGTCGAAGTCAGTAAGGAGGTCACTGAAGACATCCAGAATACGCCAGAGACTTCGATTGCCGCACCTGTAGCTGTTGCAAGAGAAACCCAGGCTACTGAAGGCCAGGGAAATCAAAACCAAGAACTAACACAAGTCACTGAAGGCTTGAGGCTGGAATTGGAGAAAGTCCAAATCACGCAGCCAATTTCCCCTCAGAAGGAAATATGGGACACTCTAGGGGAACCCAGTGGAAAATTTGACTATTTGGTCAAATATTCTGCCCCAGAGAGTTCGAAGGTTCAGATTAAGGATATAAAGCCCACAGGATGGGGCGATGATGAAGCTAAGGGGGAAGATGTTGAAATAAATATGGTGGATATGGAAAGACCTCGCTCTGAGATAGAGGAAGTTGAAAAATACTTAGAAAAAGAAAAGTATAGAATGGGGGATAATCACACTGGAGATGCTAGTCTCAAAGATTATCTCATGACATGCCACAAAGGAGATTCAGGCATGATATTGTGCCCTAGGTGCAGCATCCTCTGTAATCAAAGAATCGCTGCGAATTTCGAAAGGGTACAGAGGACTCGAACTGGCAACAATTGGCGCCAGGATAACCAGCTTTTTAGGTGTTATCCCAAGGCTGGAGAAAGTTTGTTGGAATTTGTGTTTCGCTGCTACAAAGGGGCAACCAAGTGCTTGATTTGCCCAAGGTGTTCTGCTGTGTATGACCAAAGCATGGCCAGGGCCTTCGAAACGATTCCCTTCGCC